CTCCTCGGATTGCTTTAGGTTAGGGGAAACGGGCACTCATGTGGGTCTTTTGTAATGCGAAGTGGCTAATGCAAACTTCAGGGAAGCCAGTGACACCTGTCCGGTTTCTAAACTGGAAGAATGGCTGTAAGCTCTTCGTGCTTACCTTTGAGCTACCGTCCTGGAGTGAGCACGGAGGGATGGAGCGACGGAGACCTTAAACACCTTTTCTCTCACTCCCCACAGAGGGCATGGCACCCGTGTCCCCACCAGTAAGAAGAGGGGCTCCCTGGGGGCAGGATTCTGAAAACTCTGGTGTATATGGGTGTCCTCCTTCCGAGTATAGTTTGAGAAGTTCCCAGGCAATTCAGATATTGATTCCCCAGCTTGGAAGCCTCCCGAAGAGCATCTCCCTCGCCTCCTGCCCACATTGAGAACCACTGGTGTGTTGGAGATCCAAGGGGACAGTTTGCATATATTACAATGAATCCTTTTACATAATGGCACCAAACTTCGCCACACGGCTTTTTCTCCCCACCCCACCCAAATCCCTTGATTTCGTCACGTGCCTCCTTTCTGCCAGAAAAGACGCAGAGGGAAGACCTTGCCTGCTGTCCCCGGGGTCCCAGTGGGCAGCCCCGCTGATCCTTCTGTCTGGCTGGTGTGGCTGGCGGCTCCCAGGGGCCATGCTCAGCAGGGTCAGTGGGGAGAGGCTGCCGAAGGCTCACTCGCCTTCTGGGCTCACTCGCCTTCTGGGCTAGGGGAGGGCCACCTGGCTCTTACGGTCTCCTGCTGACCAGCCCTTGGCTTTGGGTCAGTGATGAGCCCTCTCTAAGCCTGAGCTTTCTCATCTGTAAAATAGGGATCAAAAATACCCACTTACTTTCTCTAGCCACCTGAGACGTTGTAGGAGGGCTCTGAAGGCCCTGGGAGTAGCAGGGATGACAGACTATTAGTATTAAGGCACAGCACCGTCTTCCCTCTCAATTTCTTCTTTTCCTGCTCTTTACCTTGGCTCATAAAAGGCTCTTCCCAGTCCCGGGTGCATATGCACACAACATCCTACCTTATGCATCCCAAATTGTCTTCTCCTCCCTCCTACAGACCCCGGGACATATGGAACGTATCCTCAGGAGGACGGATAACACCCATCAGCAGAGACAGTGGTGAAATGCAGGATCGAAACGTGTATTATTTGGACGATGTGTTTCATAGTTTTCAGTAACTTAGAAGCTTCTGGAACTACATCACCCAGAAAAAGCTCTTCTCCCTCTCTGTGAACAGTTGTTTGGTAGGTTTTCCCCACCTTCTCTCCCACCTTCAAACGCCTTTCACGCTGATCTCCACGTTCTTGTTCTACACCTTTGCATGTTTGTAAATTACATTTTTGTAGAAACTTTGGTTTGACAAATGCCTCGATTGTTTAATTAAAACGTTATCTCCCTCAACCAATCTGTGCACTTCTGGCTGTCCCTGTACAGTTTCATGTGACTCAGTCACAGGCAGTGACCAACCTCAGCTTGCCCTCACCAGGCTCCTTGGCTGGGCTGGCTGCCGTCTCGACCAGGCCAGGGACGCAGGAAGTGGGGGTGGACGCTCTTGTCGCTGCCCCGAGATGTTAAAAGACTGGCAAGTTCTAATCAGAGAGAACCCCTGAGGGAGATCTGTTACCAGGAGGCAGTGTCCCCAGTGTCTTGCTATGGGAGGGATTGTGCAAAACAAGGGACATGTCATCACAGGAAAATAAGTCACTGGGCCCCTTTGGGCCTCTTTGATGAAAGACTGGTTTGACCCATTGGGATTGCACAGCCACTTGCTGCTGACTTTTAGAAGCTTCTGGGCCCAAGTCTCCATCTTTCTAAAATAAGTCTTTGCCAAATGCTCCAGTGAGATTTCTAAGGAAGGGGTAGGTTTGGGGGGTGGGGTGGTTAAACGTGCGGCAAGCCACATCTTTAGAGCAAAAGCTATTTTCTGCAGGACTGGCCGGATCCCATGCCTTCGGATAGGCCAGAGTTCCCAGCTTGCAGAGGTGGGGGGCACAAGTGTCCTCCACCAACGTTCGCTGGACCACTCCTTCCTAGCCTTCCCCAGGCCCCAGACCATGCCCCCGCTCTCCAAGATGGCCAGACTGTGGGAAATCTTCTCATTAGCTCCTTGCCTGGCCAGGGGCTCCTTGGAGGTCTCTGCCAGCACTGGCAGAGGCCAGAGGCAGCTCTGGGAAAGATTTCCTTTGCCGAACACACAGAGAACATGGATTCAGGGCATTTTTGGTTTTCGGTGTTTATTTTTTAAACCCACTTGTAGTTTGGGTTCAGCTGGAAAGCGGGACAGAGGAGGGAGGGAACGTGGTCGCGTGAGGAGCATTCTGCTGCGGCTTTGGCGGGAAGCCCCAGGACCCTTCTCCAGGGAGGTAGGTCCCGTCGCCAGGCTCCCAGCTGGCTCAGGCGAGGTGGGCAGCCCTTGTACGCCAGTGTCCCAAGCACGGGAGTGTTGTTTTCCTTGCGATCTGCGTCCTCAAAGGCCTGGGCAGAGGTGCCCACAGAGCGCCAGCAGCTGAGGCACAGGGCTCCATGGGCAGGCTCTGAGAGTCTGTTGCATGAGGAACGCTGGCCGGGTTCTGACGCCAGATAAGACACTGGAACGTGGCGTCTGGGGCGGCCCCCTGGGGCTGTTTCTCGAGGCGGCCTGGCTGGCAGGGTCCCCACCCCTGCAGCTGCCCAGGGCGCGATCAGTGGTACATTTCCCACACCCTCCCCCATCCCTCAGAGAAAATAAAATAAAATAAAAATTAGAATAAATACCAACTCGGCCAACATTTACATTTACACAGAGGGACAGGGTGATCCCTAAACCTCGAAGGTTTACAGACTGATTGAGGAAGGACCCACAGACAAAACTGGGTTTGGGGTGCACATTCCCCACGGACGATGGCGGGGCTGCCCACCTTCTCCGGGGGAGGTTAGGCGCCTTCTTGCGGCTACGGTCCCAGCACTCAGGCAAAGCCACGAGGCTGAGGGGAGCAGGACTGTGGTGAGTGGGCTGGCCGCCTAAGAGGAAAGCAAGGATGATCTGGTCTGGACTGGCGGGGGGTGGGGGGACAGACCGAGACAGGATCAACATCAGATGGCCAGACTTCTCCTCTTCACTGCGTCAAGAAAGCTGCGGGGCGAGTGGGGACAACAACGCGAGCCCTAGAAATGCAATATCCAGTTTTGCCTCCCGTCAAATACATTCAGAGGTCAACTTGGATATGGCCTTCCTCACTCAGCAGACGGGGGTCTGGCCTGGGGAGAGGCTCGGGCTCTGTGGGGCACCCACTGCTGCCCCCCGGGTCCTGTCTGAGTAGTCTCTCTTGGGAGGCAGCCTCAGAGTCACAGATTTTGCGCTATACTGTTATTTCCTTAAAAAAAATTTTTTTTTTTTTTAAACGTTTTCCTTCCATGTCCCAAAGAGTAGCAGCAACCTGCATTTAGAAAAACAGCCTACGGTGTTATTTGGATTGGCTGGGAAGCACTTTCAAGCAATGGGATAAACTAGGCAGACCGTATGTCTGGAGCCACCGTGACACGACACGTAATTAAAAATATATTTATATATGTATACATATTTATATCTTACTTCTTCATATTCTGGTCCTAACAGTCAAGGAGGGGTGGCCCTGAGGCAAGACCACCACGGAGGCCATTAGGAGGAAGGGGCGTTAGGAGGAAGGGGCATGAGGCTCACGGCGCCTGCCATGCCACGGGTCCGGGCTTCGCAGGGGACATCGGCCCCTGCGTGCTCGCTTTCTGCTCCATGGAAGGGGCAGGAGACCCTGGTCTCCTGGGTCATTCCCTTACTCTGGGGACCTGCTTTGTTCTCAGCAGATGTGCGAGCGTACACACATACACGCACACACACACACAATACATGCATGCCTTGCACTCACACACAGGGGGAGCCAGGCCCATTACAGCCCAGATGCGGCTCTCTGAGGGTTGCCTGGGAGCAGCTCCGTGCCCGGCCAAGGCTGCCTGCCTCTTCCTGACCACGAGGTCCCTGGTGCCTTCTCTGACCCCTGGAACCTCAGGCTAGCTCTTCCCTCAGGGCCTCTCGTGGGGTGGCTGGGCTGAAGGTGCCCGCTGAGGAGGAAAGGCAGTGAGGAGAAGCTCGAGGAGGAGAGGAGGCAAAGAAGGCTGGGGCAGAGGCTACAGACAAGTTCCAGGTAAACCTGCGTCCCCCACACATGTCCCCAACACACTCTGCCTTGGGACCAGCATAGACTCCCATCCCGGGGATGGAAGATGGGTTGTAGCTCGGGGGTGGGGGTGAAGGAGTACTAGGGGACCTGCTCCCCATCCCTGCCTCACCCTGCCCGCTCTCCCAGAAGCAAAGTCCACCAAGGAAAATCTCCAGCCCTCCCGCCCTGACCAGCCTGATTGGACCAGGAAACCAAGGCCCTCCAGGGACCCAGGGAGCCCAGCAGCTGCTGGGCTCTGGGGTGGTGTTTTACCGGGTCTTATCAAAGCCTGGGCTCCAGACCCCAGAGCTGGGGCTGGGCAGATGCCCGTGACGACCCCAAAGCCAGCCTCCGAGAGCCTGACCCGGATCCTCCTCCAGTAGAGAAGGGGCTCTCCCTAGGACCTGGCCCTTCCAAGAAACCCCAGTCTTGTTCCCAGCCTGGGAAGATGTGTCCGGTGGTCACACCTGCTTACCTCCCTGTTCTACTTGTGCCTCAGGGAAGGCCCTGTTCCCCACTGCCCAGAGGCTGCAGTGTCCAGAGCCCTCCTGGAGCATAGAGGCCTTGGCTGTAGGGGCCCTTGGCTTCTGGTTTCTGCCTGGGATAAGCCTAGGCCAGCGACAACAGCCCATTTCGCTAAGCTCCAGTCCAAGTCTGGGGGAGCCGGGCAGCCTCCAACAGCCACTTTCCCTCCACTAAGCCCGGGACGAGACCTGTGTGCAGCATGGGCAACATAACTAGTGTTTTGGTTTTAATTTGCCCCCCTCCTCCTGTGCCCCATTCACCACAAGGCGCCCCCCCCCCCCACTGCCCCCAAGCCAGGACGGGGTTTAACGCACTCCTGGCGCCTGTGACAGTGTCAGACCTTTGACAGAGCACGGCTAGAAGAAGAGAACAGAGGTCCTGGAAGCCAAGGGCTGCCGAGCAGAGCACAGGGTTCCAGCGGGACCCCCGCTGGGGCAGAAGTTTCCAATTACCCTAATTGGCTACTGGCAAGCTATCTGTGGCTAGAATCCTTCCAGAGGGGGCTGGGTTTGATCCTTCCACTGATCAGGGGGGTCCTCGTGGTGCTGACTGTGTGATCACATCTCGGACTCTTTTCATTGAGAGGAGACTTCAAAGCAGCTGACTTTGGAAAATAAAACAATAAAACACCAGAGTATGAGTAGACCCGCACACTCCCGCTCCCCTCCCTGCGCCCCACCCCCTGGGCCTGAGGCTTGGGGGCCACCGGGAGGAGGACCTGGAAGTGGGGAGGGTGCAGCGCGAAGGTTAGAGGAGAAGCCTCCGACCCCCAGTCTGACCGCGCAGGACAAAGGCCGTCAATTACAGGCGGCCGGTGGGGACCGTGCCTGCCTTTGTCCTCCTGGACATCTGCTCTACGTCGCCTGCTGCCAGTTGGCGACGGCGGCTGACAGCAGGAACAATGCAAGCCCGTCTCCGACCCACTTTTTCAGCCTTCTGAGGTCCTTTCTGACCCAAGCGGTACCCTGGCGTGCGGCGCTGCCAGGCCCTCAGAGGAGTCACGGAGATGAAACCCCTTGCACAAAGCCCTGCGGGGGACGAGGCTGGCGGGAGGGGGCAGGGAGGAGTGGGAGTGGGGAGGGGCGACCAGGGCCACCATGAGAAAGAAACATGCTTCCCTTATTGGTGAGAGCTGCCGCATGCGTGGGGCTGGGGGGGCTCGGACGAGGGGCACTCCTCCTTCCCTGTCTGGCTCCAGCCTGGCCACCGGCTCTGCCTGCTTCCCTCCCCACTTCTTTCTCCCGCCAGGGCCACCCCTGTCCTCCCGCCTGTCCATCTGGCCCTGGGTACCAGGGCCCCAGCTGCCCGCGGGCCGCCCGCCAGGCCCCCTGGCTGTCAGGCTGTCAGTTTCTGGATGGTTCTGTTGTAGTACTGCGTGATGGGGGGCGTCAGAGGGTTCCAGCTGTTGGCATGGAGCTCGATGACCTCCAGAAGCAGCGACCGGGTCAGCATCGACTCTGAGGGGCAGAGCATCTTGTCGCGGGCGCTGGCCAGGAGCTCGGTCATCATCTCAGGCAGCTGCTCCTCCAGCAGCCGGCCTGTGCTCTGCAGCTGCGGGCGGGGGAGTGGGGGTTAGGATGGGACTCGGGCCCCTGGAATGGCCCCCTGAGCCAACCTGATTAGGAGGGCTGTGGGCAGGGACAGGAAAAAACTGGATTGTCTCTGGAAGGTGCAGGCCAGGCATCTGTGCCACAGGGAGGACAGGGATGTGGGAGGGTGGAAGGAGTCAATTGTGAAAGCCCACATTTACCCACCAATCTGCTGCAAGAATAAGAGGGATTAGGTTATTGCCCACTGCCCAGGGCTGAAAAGAGCCCTCACTGGCCCCACGCCACTTTTGTCTTTATCCAAGAGCTCTCCTCCTACAGGAAGCCTTCCCTGACCCCTGCCCAGACCCTCAATGGCTGACCTGCTCCCCTCAAAGGCCATCAGGCTGCACCGTGTTGATTTCCACTTGCAGGGATGTCTCTCTAGAAACGAGCTTAGTCATTACCACCTGCACGTCTCTGCACGGAACCTGAGAGCGGGGATGAGGTCTCCTATTTCTCTCCTGCCCCTAATCCCACCTCCCCATCCCAGCACTGACCTCTGCCCACACTTGTGACACGAAATATGAACGGGGACAGAAGGCCAGCCAGAGGGCCCGCCCTCAAGAGAGGCCCCTGTGATGCTGAAAAGCCTCTGCAGAGAAGAAGGGGTCCCAGTGGTCTGGATCCCCCACCCTTGGGTAGCAGCCCCTGCGGGTGTCTCCGAGGGATCTCAGTCTCCATCTCTGCTCAGCCCCACCTCGCCCCACCCATTTTTCAAGGCTCTGCCTTCTTCAAAAAGTTCTCCTCGACCTTCCCGGACCACCTTGATCTCTCTCCTCTGACTCCTCAGGGATGAAGGCTCTGTACCTGTGTTTCTTCTCTACCCCGTGTTATCTATCCCCAGCCAGAGTGGAAGCTGAGGATAGGGACTAGGTTCTCTTTTCCCCTATTGCCCTGTCACCAAGTCCCATGTACAGTACCCAGATGGAGCCCCACAAACGAACAGTGACCATCCTATACACCTGAGGCTGTCGTCCAGACTCCCAGCCCCTCTGGCCGCTGAGAGCATTGGGAGTGGCCTTGGAGGCTGGGCAGAAGCCACCTGAGAGCTGTGCTCACACGGCCCTGATAGGCCCTGGGTGCCCAGGCTGGAAGCACCTGTCCTCATGGCACTCTGTTCTCAGTGACTGGGCTGGACTCCCAGAGCAAAGTTTGTCCCTGAGGAAGATCCCAGAGGAAGAGTTGTTCAATGCATAGTGGCCACACTTTGGGAGCAGGGGTGGCGACCCCTGTGGGGGGTGCTTTGAAGCAGAGGGTGTCAACACGGGGCCTCAGGCCTCAAGCGTCTTCTTCAAGCCCTGCACCACAAAAGCCAATGGAGATATTTGGGGGTGGGGGTCACCTGGAATCCCTTAAGTCATTTATATGGTGGGCCTGGTGCAAGGAAGAGGTGGTCTTGGGGACAGAGGACAGGGCACGATGTCAGCCCTTGGTCCTTCTCTCTAGAGAGTCAGGCATCTCTTCCTCTAGCTAGTGGCGGGCTGGTTACCCCGTCCACATTTACTCTGCTTTGGGGTTGATAATCCTGCATCCACATCGGCTTAGGAAACCATTCTCCACCAGCCCCCTCTACACACCCCTGCCCAGGATTGGAGGGTACCTCTTGTGACCCTCCACTGCCCACAACTGGAAGGTCTGAGGTCAGAGGTGCTTACCTCCATCGAGCAGCACAGGACGGCATCTTCCTTCACATCCTGAGATTGCAAGAGCTGTGGAAGAGAGAGGCAGAGAACACTACTGAGGTGTCGGCCCCTTTCCAGCCCCGATGTGGCCTGGAACAGACATGTCGGAGGGGAGGATGGGGAGAGAGCCCACGAGGGTCAGAGGGCAGCAGGAACACAGCGATTTCTCTAGCAGGACTTGAGCAGCTGGAGGACCACGGTGGCGCCCAGGCCAGGCCAGGCCACAATGAGAGGCCACGGCAGAGCAAGGCTGCAGGCAGGTCTGAAGGTGGCAAATATGCCGGGACCGATGGCCGTAACGAGTGGTCAGCAAAAATCTTCAGAGCCATACAATTCATGTAAAGACTTTTGGATGGGTGAAGGGGGCTCAACCATGGTCTCAGGAGCTCCTGAGCCCTTGCTAGAGGAGGCCTTCCAGAAATCCCAGTGCTCTTCTGCAAAACCACGGCTGCGCTGACTTACCCATAGGCCGGAATTGCTTCCTGACCAAGGCCATGGCCAGGCTGCTCGGTTGCTAAGACTGGCCATACCCCCGTCCAGGCTCCCCTCTGCCTCATCTCATTCCTTCTCTCTTTCTCAACTGAGCTCTAATTCACACAACATCCAATTGGCCATTTTTTGGCCAAGTGACCTTTGATGTATTCGAAATGTTCTGCAACCATTAGCATTACCTAACTCCCAGCCTCGCCCTCCCCCAAGCCCCTGATCTCTGTCTCTGTGGATTTGTCTCTTATGGATACATAGTTCACATAAATGCATCATACAGTATGTGGTCCTTGGGGACTGATTTCTTTCATGAACAGAACTTTCTAGAAGATTGCCTTTGTGGTAGCAAGGACCAGTCCGATGTTCCTTTTTATGGCTGGATAATATTCCACTGTATGGAGAGACCACATTTTGCTGATACATTCATCAGCTGACAGACACACGGGCTGTTTCCCCTTTTTTGGCTCTCACAGATAATGCCGCTGTGATCACGTGTGTACAGGTTTTTTCGTGAGCGCCTGTCTTCAGGTCTCAGGGGATCCTCATCTCCGAGTGGAATTGCTGGGTCTCGCTGCACTTTCTGGGGACTAGACAAATTACAGTGGGGGCGCTATTTTGCATTTCCCCCCAGCAATGTCAGCGAGTTCTGGTTTTTCCATATCTTCACCAATATTTGCTATTTTCTGGTTTTTCATAAAATTCCTTTTTCTTAATTCCCAGTAGGAACCTCCTCAAGGCACAGCTCACAGCTTCAGAGAAGCTCTAGTCTTGTTCTCCACAAACTCCGCCGACCCCATCTCCCTCTGGACCCTTGGCTGACTGGAGATTCTTCTTGCCAACCCCTATGAACGCGCCCACCGCCATTCCCCGCCACACTGATCCTCACATCCACAGGAGGACCCTGCGTTTGGATTATCTGCCACGGATGACTTTTCCCTCTGAGGCAAATCCCCATACTCGCCCGCCCTTCAAGGCCCACAGCTTTCCATGAAGGCTCTGGATCTCTCCAGGCCCTGCTGCCCCTTCCTGCTTCTCACTCCCCAGCTTGTCCACCTGCTTGGCATTCCACACGAGGGAAAAGACATTTTCCAGGGGGGAACCGCCTGCTTCCTGACAGCTGGGACAGTGCTGTGTTCCTATTTGCCACCTTCAACACCTGGGCTAGCTCCTGGCAACAGGAGGGATTCACTTAATGTTCCTAGATACTAATCACACAGGTTTTTTGGTTGGTTGGTTGGCTGGTTAGTTTTAGAGGAAGGGCGGAGAGTGAGGAGAGCACAAGAGGAAGGCCCTTTTAGGGTGAGTGTCCTCATTCCCCGAACAAGGACTGCAATCAGGGTTTTTGACCCGGGTGTGATGTGCTGGGGACTGTTCCTGCTGCTAGCTTGAAATCCGATTCTGTGTGTCTGCCGCACTCACCTCTTCCGTTCTGTCAGGTTGTGTATGTCCACCCAGCCCGTGGCCCCTCCCAGCAAGAGCCAGAGCGTTCACCTCCGGAGGGCTGAAGATTTAGGGGGAGCTTTGCCGCGTGCCCCGTGGGTGTGCGGGGCATGGAGCCCAGGGAAGATAGGTCAGTGCTGGCTGTACTGGCTGGAGGTGCTCTCAGAGCCCAGGCTTCCTTCCCTTCCCTTCCCTTCCCTTCCCTTCCCTTCCCTTCCCTTCCCTTCCCTTCCCTTCCTTTCCCTTCCCTTTCCTTCTCTTCCCTTCCCTTCCCTTTTGCCTTCGCCTTCCTTTCTCTTGCCTCTCCCTCTATGTCAGAACTGAGCTGGCAGCAAACACGCAGAAATCATTTGGGGAAGAAGGAAAAGAGCTAGTCCTTGACTTGCTCCAAGGAGAAGCAGACAGAAAGCAGGGGACAATCCAGGGGAGGAAACGGTGCCACCAACACAAAGTGACAGGTGTTGAGGCCACTGGGGTGCTTGTTCTACTCACTGACACAGTCCTAACTCCACCAGCCCCACTCTCCTCCTGGCTTACTTCTTGCTGTCGCATCACTCGCCCCGACACATTGTCTACTTGTTCATCTGCTGTCTGTCTCCCCTGGCAGAAGGCAAGCTCCACCAGGACAGGGCCTCTGTTTTGTCCCACTTCGAGGAATGTGTCCTACCCACGGACCTGGACATGCACCACGACACGGATAGAAGGTTTTCGCTGCATGGTCATTACAGTGAATGCAGCAAGGGGACTGATTAAAGAACGACAATACACAGGCTTAGTGAGCGCCCTGCTGCTCGGCTGTCACTCCCCTGCCACACCAGGGTCTGCTTCTGGAGTTTTCTTGCCTGCCGGAGCCACAGAACCCCAAGGGGAGCCAGGGTAGGCTTCCACCAAGCCGGTGCCTGGTGGGCCTCTCTGGGAGGCCGTGGGGAAGGGACTCCTTTATTTAGAGGACCCAGGAGGCCAGAGTGAAGACAGGAACCAGGTTCTGGAGAAAGCTGGGGCAAGTGATTTCACCTTGCAGCAGGCCTACCTAAGGCATGTGGTCTGCACCCAACCCAGCCTGCTCGGGGAGGGGCTGGTGCCCAGACTGGGAGGGGCCTGTGGCCATCTAGGATGGGGTCTGCATGGGGAGTGGGCCTAGCCCTGTTTACTTTGCAGGGGGATAGGGACTGATCTATTGTAGGAAAACCCTTTAAGTTTGGCTAGAATTTCCTTCTGAATGTAACTTTGTTCCCTAATAACAGGTTTTCTGTAGCTCCCTAATAAGGGGAGGGGGGGAAATCCTTAAAAATCCGTAGAAATCACAAGAAAGGGGGGATCTGATGGAAAGGGAACTCTTAGAGATGGAGCAGATACTGGCAGCGGGTGGGGGAGGAGAGGAAGAGCCGGCAGCTCATGGGAAGAACGGGGTCCACTCAGGACGCCTCTACCATATCGGCTGACACAGAGTAGGTGCTCAAGGGGGCTTGTCGTGGTAAGTTGAAATGATTGAGAGACGCCTGAGTGGCTCAGTCGGTTAGGCCGCTGCCTTTGGCTAAGGTCATGATCCCGGGGTCCTGGGATCGAGTCCCACATCGCACTCCTTGTCCAGCGGGGAGCCTGCTTCTCTCTCTGCCTCTGCCTGCCACTCTGCCTACTTGTGCTCGCTCTATGACAAATAAATAAATAAATAAAATCTTTAAAAAAAAAAAAAAAAGAAATGATTGAAATGACCCTGGGATCATGTTCTGTCCTAGATTAGCTCCTTTGGGGCTCTAGGGACAAGGGAGGTAAGCTTATGGGAATACTGGTAGGAGTTAGGACCTGACAAGTACTAGATGTTCTGGAAGGTGACTGTTTCCCTCTCCAGGTGGCCCCCTGAGCTGCTGACAGCACTGCAAAGCCAGCCAAGCCCTCGGCCCTGGTGGGCAAGTGCCCCCTTCTTCCCATTCCCTCTAACCCCCCAGGCCTGGCCTGCCCTCTGCTCCCTGACAGAGCTGGGAACTACAGACTGCGGTCTCTTTCTGTTCCTTCTCTTTCTTCCCCACATCCTTATGACTGGACTACTTCCCTTCCAATCCCTTCTTCTCTGTGTGTCCAAACTCCCCTGGAATTTGGGGTTCCATCCCTGGAGGCCCTGGCTCCTGGCTGGCAGGGCAGGGGACAGACACAGTGTGGGGTGCTCTGGAGGGCCAGGGTGGCTCGCCTGGGCATTCAGGCAGAGCTGTGGGCGGGCTCCCAAGCCCAGGCCTCTCCTCCAGCCTTATCTTGCACTGGGTTGTTTGGGAAAGTCCGTGCTAAGCCAACAATCACATCGTGTGATAGGCCCTCTTGCATGGCCTGCTGGGTTTTCTCAGGGAAGTGGGGGAGGACCGGAGTGGGTCATTAGACTTTTCCTTCAGAGTTGCTGGATGCAGGGATGCGGAGGAAATCTGCAGGGAGGCCATAGACCACTTCCTTCTCTCCCTGCAATAGCTGTCCTGGCCTCTTAGGATCAACGTTGAAGAAGAGCAGAGTCTCAGAGCCCTAGGGCGGAAGGGGCTTTGGAGAACGTCCCCCTCAGCCTCCCCGGAAGTCACACCCCGCTGCTATTTGTGCCGTAATAAGAGGCTGACCTCTGCACCCAGGATCCCTGACCAACCCCACAGGGGGTCCCTTCCAAGACCCCTTCCACTGACCCTCCTAGGGGTTCCCACGCCCCCGGGTGATCATCGGCTCCCCAAGACCCTGTCCCTCCCTGTCGTTTGCAGGCAGTGTCCCAAGTGCGGGATCTTTCCACTCTTTTCCATCTTGGCCGGACTTACCTGTCCTGTGTTCTCTTTCTTCAGGACTCTGCTTTTTCCCAAGGGATAGCTCAGGTTTGGATAAACAAATCCCTGCTGGTAGGTGGAGGGGGGCAGCCAGCCCTCTTGTTTATATATGCTCCATTTGGAATCTTCTGGAGACAATGCTTTTATTTTTGCTTTTCTTTCTTTCTTTTTTTTAAATTTCAAGACAAGTCTCAAAAAGTAACGGGAACTCGAACGACTATTTGTCTACCCATTTTACAACCGGCAAGAGGTGGAAGCAACATGTCAGTGGAGAGAGGGAGGCATGAACTACTGTGGTCCAAGAACACCATG